TACCTGGATCCATGTATTATTTGTACTGGACGATACCATCTCTGCCATTTTACTGTTGTCACTATTTACAACAAATGACTGAAATGCAGGATGTGTGTATGGTGTAGGCTAGTATCACATGTGTTTATATTATAAATTTACATGAATTAAAATTCATTTGATCTTGTGATATGGCACGGCGTCGATCGTCTGCTGTCCCTAAAGAATGTCTGAACAAAGTTTTACCAAATTTAGTTTGGAAAGGAATGGGCACAATAGCAAAATATGGTCAATGCTTTAAGATAGTAAAGGACTTGTCTGGTATGAAGCATATTTTGGGTCAAAGGGCAAATATCATCGACAGCAAATTGTAAAATGTCAAAATTAATGGACAGCAGTTTTAAGGACTATGTTAGTCATCTTGTTGGCACTTGGACATATGCTATGTTGTGTTTTCATGTTGTAAGTTATTGATACTTTTAATATTGAAAAGTTTGTACGACAGAGATCGTACTTGGTATGTAACTTTTATAGACATTATGACTGTAAGAACAAAAATGGGGAAATTTTGTGTTAAATAGATGAGTGCATCATGATCATGAGATCTCTATCCTCTGATGTCTTATACTATCATTTATGTATAAACCTTTTCATCAAAGAAACCATTTTCTTAACGTCATGGGTCCATTGTATAAATATTGTTATTTAAAATATGTAATATTTTTTTCAATCAATAAAATATTCCATGTATATGTAAACTTTTGCTTATCATTCAATGAACATAAGCACTTGTTTTCTCAACAGCAATTAATTATGCATCGATAATAATTTAGTGCACATAATCTTTATGGAGGTAGTACCGAAATGTGTACGGGGTTTTTTTTTTGGGGGGGGGGGGGGGGCGTTACTGTCTGTCCGTAAGTTAAAAATATCCTTCTAAACTTGTAAGCAAACTTCAAGACAAATATTTGCAACTCCATTTGTACATAAGGTAGTTGCCAACCCTATACAGTATATACATTTCAATGTAGTCTTGTTCCAAGAGTTATTGCCTTTTTTTCAATTTAATGTCCTTTCTAGACATTTTTGTATCAAAATTATGCTACCGATTACAACGAAACTTTCGGAGAGTGATACATCAGGGATAACCTTAAGAGCAAATGGTCAACTTTTTTAATTTTTAGATTTGAAATGGCCGCAATGAACTCTGATTGGTTACACATAGGGTATTGGTTATTTTTTACAAGGCCGACTGCTAAATTTTTGTTAAGATTCAAGGGGGCTGGCTATACATTAAAAAAACTAAACTGGTCGAATGTGTCCTTTCTCTGTTCCACTTTTGTTTCTGTCCGAATAGGTTTATAGTCGTGGATATTTGTTACACAAGTTATCGCCCAAATACAAAAACAATAAAAATAAGAATCGTATTTGAACCCTCGACTTGTGAAAATTGTCATTTTGCTGTCCTGCATTTTAAAAGTGAAACACAATAATTTATAAAACTTATCACACATTTTATTAAACTTACAACAAAACTGCTGTATTTATTCGAGTAATCAAATACATGGCATTAAAAGTACAGATCACATCAGCAAACATGACAGGGAAGTATGTACTGTGTACTTGTATAAATCCTTCCCGAGTTTCTAACAAACTAATGGCCTTTAAATGGTTAATATTTACATGTAAACAAAATGAGGACAACACAGTACGGTTAGGGACATGCTACGCAAGATACATCGATATTCCATGAAATGTTAAGTACGTGTCATCATGAAAACATTTGTGAGGTTTTTAAAATTCCATTTTATCAACATATTAATACTTGCATTGGCTAACCAAAACGTTTAGACTGGACAATGAGGTTTTTAACTCTCAAATGTTTCTATATTTTGAGATGTTAGGGTCCCTCATCAATGACTACATTTGTAGAGAGTTGGAAAGAAAGGCGGTCAAGGCAGTTGCTTCTGGGAGTTTCATACTTGTGACAAAGTTTTAGGAAATGTTCGTTTATTTCGAAGGCAGTCGGGAACCGTTATTGTAATAGGAAGGAGTAGCAACAACAATTCTGCTTGAATAATTCTTTAGTTTAGAGATAGACGGATCAATTTAAGTGTTTCTGGCAATCGATTGCGTAATTCAATGCTAACAGATCTAAAGAGAAACGACTTTGGGTAGGTAGTTATTTTACAGTGTATTGTTCGAATATTATTGGGATTTCTTGTTCTCTAATCGTTTAATGCCATTATGAGTTTTGCTGTTGTTTTGATACGTGCGGCTTCTACTTTCTAAAAAAATATACTTTCTAGCCTTTTGGATTGAGCAATTGTTATTTTGTCCCAAACTATATCCCCATATGTGTAAAAAAAATTGGAATGATAATCAAACAATTCTAATTCTAAGTTTAATTTACGTAGGACGTCACAAGATAGAATGTGTAATTTACAAATTTCCGGATATATAAACACAAGGTGTTTCGAACCTAAATGCATGGACCTCTGAAACCCGAATTACATTTTCGACTGATTTGGTTTGTTTTTGTTTAGTAAGGTTAAGCGTCCGTCCTATTATTAACAGCTAAGGTTATTTAAGAAGATTTAGAATATATATAACAAGTTCCGAATATGAATAACATGAATTTTTAAATACAAATCACAAGTTTATAACATAAATCACACAATTTGAAACAAAAATAGAAATGATAATATGCAGAATGTTAGGAGACTTACAATACAAATAATAGTATTTAGAAATTAAAAAAAAAGTTAAACAATTAATGCCACATTTAGAAGAAAACTGTTTACATAGTGCAATATCTGACCTTCCGTAGTTACCTAAGATGTTCGCATCAGGACCTTAAATATGGAATTGGCACGTAACAGAACTAGAAACTGCATTATATAAGACAGACCATGTACTCGGTCACTCGAGGCTTAAATGTTTATGAAAAGATATGTTGGAGGCTGGACTAACAAATCTCCGTACACAATGAATATATCATTAAATTGTCCGTTTCACCAAAACCAAATTAATCGGTTTGCAGAAAATTGGAAAATTACCACAGGACAAAATCTGAACTGCTTCTTGACATAAAAATGAAACTGTTAGACCGGATTCGTTAACATTGTCTAAATAACAAATAAAATCAGACGTTATATGTTATAAGTTAAAAGCTTATAACTTAGAAAGGATAACGTGACAAGCTGTGATATCTCATTGGTCCTAGATAGCCTACTGACGCAGTAACGCTGGCTATTCACCTGCATGCATAAATAGAACTTCTACAGCGATGGTCGTTGCTAGGTGATAGCCTGATGTAACTGTCAATCTATCCAGATGCATCGGTAACGATTTATCAATCTGATATCTCACCGTTGACGTCTGGCCACAAACTTTAGAACATTGATACTTCTGCAAATATTTACCTTGCAATTGATGGAGCTCTGCGTGTAAAACTCTGTAAGAGATTAAATCAGTTGACTAGCCGCTCAGCCACCAGTAACAAGGTAAGTGCACTTCTATTTGGTACTTTTTCTGCTTTAGCTACTGTGAATCATTTATTCAGTGTCGTATACGGGAATGTAATATTCGTTAAATGGTATGTGTGCTTTAAGGTTTTAAAGTGCTTGGTTTTAAAATCTATAGTTTGTGATATTTTTTAAACGAAATTCTTACACAAAAAAAATAATTTCTCTCTCTTTTCTTTTCAAGTAATACTGCTTGTAACATACATACCTCGACTGATTAACGGCTAGACTAATAGCGGTTATATTTTTGAACAATATCCTAAAAGAAGATGGCATATTTTAGTCCCGCCTTTTTTTCCGTGTAATTAAAATTTATTGACAATTAATCGGTTGCAACAGAAAAATATTTCACAATTGTCACCCAAAAAAAACTACAGAATAGAAAAAGGCCAGATACAATATATACATGCATAACATTAATGGCAAACAGTTTTTTTTCTGACTGTTTGCTTTAATAATGTGTTGAGTCGCCGATTGACAGGATCTTGGATTTAGGATTAAAAAGCAATCACAGTCTTAATCTCAAGTGTATTGACATTGAAATTTAAAAAAGGCGAAACGTTCAAAAATGAATAAAAGAATGCGTATTTACAACGTGTTTACTTACATTGGTGTAAAAGCACACGCCGGTTCGGATTTAAAAGTCTCAGCAGTTTTATATATAATAATTGGAACCTTGGAAATCCTTCTTCCTTAACCCGGAACCTGATGCAGGAAGTGTTTATATGCGTATTATCAAAAACATAAATAAATAAAAAAAATAAAAAAAGTTGACGAGTGATTCCATTTCAAATGATTCTTTTCAAGTGTTAAGAATCCTTGAACTGAATATATAGAGTATAAGTTTAACGTAAACACATCTTAAAATACTACATGTACTTCAATGCAAGTGATGTTACAGAATGGGCGATGTTAATATATTGTACCACACCCTTGTTAAGTTTTATAACATTTCATGTTATTTTTATTGTTATAATTGATACAAGTTTTATGTCAGCCATACATATTCAAATATACAAATTGAACAATATAAACATTTACGATACATTGCAACTGGGACTTATTTGTATCAAATAATTAACTCTAATGTTCTATGCCTGAATCAACTTTAGTATTACTGACCATATTGAAAACAGCAGATGAAATTAAGGTTTGTGTTGGTTTTTTCACTGAGCATCTTAGTTTATGCATGAAAACAACATGAATATTGGACTATCAAAACGTTTCCATGCGCAAACTAAAGATTTGGCTCAATTGAACACTTTTCTGGCGATACCCCAGATATGATCGTGATATGATCAAAATTATAAAGCTACATGATTATATCTTAAAATTATGTGAAATTAATAAAAACATATGTTTTCACTTAAACATGGCACCAGTTTCAACACATATAAGCTTTGTGTGTCAATTATCAAATTAGGAATATTTTTGCCTTTTTGTAAACGTTATAAGTGTGTAACGTTTGATTTGTTTACTTTTTTCTTAACTAGACTGAAATTGTTAACTCTTCAAGATGGACAGAAACAGATCCGATGTCCAAAATGAGGGGGACAGTTGTGAGTGACCTTACTTAGTGGCCGAGCGTCTTGCTCGATCAACTAAGAAGTCTTCCTTCTCCGCTCTTAATCGCAAACCTGTTCATTTAGCTATACAGATAGACTACTGGTGAGTGTTTTCCTCAAAATCCTTCCCCTAGTCATTCAAACTTTTACTTGTTTTATGATGCGAATATTACAATATCAATTTGGTCAAAGACAGAAGCAAAAAAGTAGCAAAATTTCATACCGTTCATACGCAAGATATTTTAAGAGTATTTTGTATATAACGATTACAATAAAGCCGTTCTCATTAGTGTGATTTTTGTATCTGGTGAAATGATATGTTAAAACAAACAATTAGCACACACTTGAATTGTATTCGGAACCAAGTTTTGCAACTTTTGTAATACAATACCACAGCAGCATGATACGTGTGCTACCACACAGTGTCAATCACTAATGATATCCGTTTCATCTATAGTCCATATAAATGTCTACTGAATACGAAAAATACATGTAAAGGTATCAACATTCCAATTATTTCTTTAAATAGAAAGATTCATACATATAAAATTAAGGTTTATGTTGCTTGCTTATGTGATACGTGTTATTTTCCTTGTCAAAACAATTGTTTTATTACATGTAAAAATCACTGGCATTTCCCAAAATCTCATTTTGAATTAATGACCACTGCATCATGTACCGGTGAGGAATCTACGTCAAGTGTCCTTATTTATCAACCCACATCAACATTTTTAAAATGACAAACGAATGTAGCATCGTCTTATTACGGAATATGGCAACAAATCGTTTGATATTGATTAAGCTTAGGCGAAGAAGGGCGTGTGTTACCCGAGCTCAAAATAGTCAAGAAACGGGACTAAAGGAATCACCTGACATTTGCAATGATATATATTTTGTATGTTTATCTATTTTGCAGTAAGTTTCACTCAACAATAATACCCATTCCCAGGTATGTAGGGTAATAGCATATGGTGCACTTTGTAGACTGCTTAAGGAAACCTCATTTGTCCTAGAATCACTGTATTATATTATCACTGGTGGTGCTGGACAGATTTACCTTTCCAAGGCACCTTATGTCGTCTTCTTAGTGTACACAACCTCTATAATGATGTTGTCATGTAAATATGACATAAAAAACCTTTGAAAATTACAGAGCTTGATAAAAAAATCCTTAGGGTTCCCATTAAAAGTGAACAATATAGCCTTGTTCAAACATAGGTTTGGTTTAATTTAATCATGTTTAATGCCATATCGACAGCTAAGGTCATTCAGGGAAATGTCTTTATATTTGTTGTATATGCGTGCTTGCGTATGTGTTTTGGTGTGCAGGTGGCAAGGTATGTTGGTGTATTTGCCTCCTTGTGATATGTGAATGCTAACGGTGAGCAGGGAATAACAATTACGATTCTGAAGGACTTTGGTATGTCCTGGCTAGGGGACATAACCAACTGTCTTCCTCATCTGGGCAAATTAGGTTTAGCATTAAAGCCAAAAGTGAGGTGTTGCCAAGCACGGCGTTAGGAAATAAGTAAAATATCAAGATATACAAATATTGCAATGGATGCAGCATATTTCTGTTGGTCGCTGTCATGACCCTAAGAAGATGCACAAAAGCAAATCCCCCAACGCTGCAGGGGATTCCCACATTAAGCGCCTCTTACGTTACAGGCAGTGGGTAACAGTCAGCAGGTTAATTATTGATCCCTGACCTGCCCCGACATGCAGGGATGCCGTACATAGGAATTCACTGGGTATCTGTCTTCCAATGAAATAAAGAAATGATGTTTTTTACTGACACAGAAATCGTTTGCTTTCTGGTTGCAGTGATGTAAGGTACGTTATGTCAATTCTGTTGTCAATTTCAAAAATGTCTGATATCATTCAAAGCTTTCATTATTTGAAAAGATGTTGCTTATATTAGATGTAATCTAATTAATTGCTGAAGTAATATTGTTTACTTCAATGTTAGATTTGAAGTTTCTACCAATCGTCAACTATTGAATATATACATTTGCTGTCCATTTGATGGTCAAAAATGATAAATAACGACCACTCTTGGCACCAACTAATGGCCTAATTTCCATATGTTTAAATGCTAATCTTTGAGTGGCAATACATGGTTACGGGGTTGGCAATAGGTCACGGTGATAATGACGGACGAACTAGTGCGTTCGCAAACAGTTCTGATAATATAGCAAATATCAGAGCTTTTGTATGTAACCGTTGGTAAATAGTGTCCATAAATAAATATAAATCGAGAGCCAAACTTAATTCGCGATCACTGGTACACAATACATGTTTGATCGATACCAGTGTGTCAGAGCTTGGCATCAGTCTTTGCTGTAATTAGAGATGATATGATGTGCTTCAGTTGGTCTCAATCACCACTTCACTCATTTGACCTTTTTGGACACCTTTTTATTTTTTATTCTGAAGACAATAAAATAATACAAAAGATTATTTATCTAAAACAAAAATTGAACCGTTCTTTTTGTTAAGACCTGTACTGGTATATCTTTTTGTTGTGATTTCTCAGGCCTGTCCTGGTATATCTGTCTGTTGTAATATCTAAGGCCTGTGCTGGTATATCTGTCTGTTGTGATGTCTCAAACCTGTCCTGGTATATCTGTCTGTTGTAATATCTAAGGCCTGTCCTGGTATATCTGACTGTTGTGATGTCTCAAACCTGTCCTGGTATATCTGTCTGTCGTGATGTCTCAGGCCTGTTCTGGTATATCTGTCTCTTGTCTTGTCTCAGGCCTGTCCTGGTATATCTGTCTGTCGTGATGTCTCAGGCCTGTCCTCGTAATATATCTGTCTGTTGTGATGTCTCCGGCCTGTCCTGGAATATCTGTTTGTTATTATGTCTCAGGCCTGTCCTGGTATATATGTCTGTCGTGATGTCTCCGGCCTTTTCTGGTAGATCTGTCTGTCGTGATGTCTGGGCCTGATTATATCATTTACAATGGTATGTCAGGTTTGGTCTGGCTTATTGATGTATGATACAGGTGATATTATATCTATATTACTTTATATACTTTTAGATATGTATGACCTCAACATGGGCAACAGTTCATCATGTTTAAATTAGCAGCCATGGAAAGGTTTCCTGACTGTGATGTCACGGGATCCTTTTCAGTGAAAGGTAAATACATTTGTCTTTAATCAAATTTGTTCCCGGTTAAGTTCCTGGTATTGAGGTGGGCGTGGTCGTTTTGGTTTGGTTTTATTTTGTTAATGTCCTATTAACAGCTAAGGTCAAATAAGGACGTGCCTCAATATATGTTGTGGGTGCGTGTATGCGTATATGTGTGTTGGAGACGGGGTATTTTGGTGTATTTGGCTTCTTGTGATAGTGCGGCTCTGATTGCGACTGTATTCCAGATTCCAGAGATTAGCCTTTTAATGTGGTAATAGAACTGCGTGCGAAATAACCAGGAAAGGAAACCGTTCCTGTAAATCTTGGCAGTGTTTTCATATAAATGTCCGATGTTAAATAAAACAACAGCCAGTTTCACAGCTATCTGGAGATGCTATATCTACCGCGTGTGGTGAGGAATGTTGCGGTCCTCTCATGACCTGAATTGAAGATGGACTTATAAAGGGTTTAACTTGTGGTTCTATGAAGATTTCCCCTTCCGAGACACCTTGTATCGTGTCATTTGTGTACAAAACCATTGTACATGACAATGTCTCTATAATAATGTTGCCATGCTAAATAAAAAAAAAACATCAAAGCTTTATTTGATAATTACATAACTTGATAAATGTTTCCTTAGGGTCCCGTTAAAAGTAATCAATATAACTTTGTCCATTCATGAGAATATGCCTGGATTCAGCCTTCCCATTAAATGACAAAGTCATATATTTTACAGACACAGAATTTTTTATAATTGTTTTTATCGTCAATTTGCGTTTTATTTGACCATTCCATGCTAGCCTGTGATACGTATACGTGCAGAGTGACGAGAGTTATACATAGAAATTCAAATAACCCACGTGATTTCCATAAATGGGTTCCGCAAAACAGTACATTTAGCTCATCAATACATACATCGGCTTTTTCAATCAAGTCTGTGACAATGTCAATATATTTAAATTATCGTTAACGCCAAAGGCATGGCCTGGTTGAGTTGTGATGATCTGAGTAATAAATGCCCGGGGAAAGGTTATCGATGTCGTGTTCATCGGGGCGATAATAAACTATGATCTTGTCCTATTAAATCTTTCCGAGATAAGCCTATTATCTGATCGCACTCCGAAAACCGCATGCCCTGTCCCCGTTATAGGAATCGTTTACCTGTTGGTGCTAGAGGTAGTTTTGTGGTGGCGAAGTGTGAATTGCGTTAGCATTTTGACACATATTTATCACCTTGATGTATCAGGTATTTATTCCTCTAGAAGTTTGGTGAGAACAATGGTGCTTGGATAGATTTGTGGTAAAAAAACCAGGAGAATATTGTCAACAAAACTAGAATTCGAACTTGCAATCGAAAATACTAGAGCAAACTGTGAACAAAGGAAGGTGCACACCCTTGAAAAAAGGAGAATAAAACCATATGTTCAGAGAGTAAAACTTTCCCTGCTAAATCGACTACAACCGCCATGTAAACCTAGGTCAAAGTCAAGTAATGCCACTTCGGGCAGTGACAAGAAAGCCACAAGGCACACCAATGAGCATAATTAAGATTAAAAAAAAAAACAAAAAAAAACTATATCATATCAAAACAAAGAAGAAATGTCAAAGTAGTTCGCGATAGATCATGATGGCGACCATAAACCTTGTTCAAAGTCACCAACTGTATCCTAGGACACATTGGTTGTATTTTGTTCATGATTGTCGAAGCAAGGTATGGAATATCGAGTCATCAGCGACACGTAACCACAGTCCATAGGGGCGCAGGAATGTTAGCACAGTACATAGGGGCGCAGGGATGTTAGCACAGTCCATAGGGGCGCAGGGATGTTCGCACAGTACATAGGGGCGCAGGGTTGTTAGCACAGTACATAGGGGCGCAGGGATGTAAGCACAGTCCATAGGGGCGCAGGGATGTTAGCACAGTCCATAGGGGCGCAGGGATGTTAGCACAGTCCATAGGGGCGCAGGGATGTTAGCACAGTCCATGGGGGCGCAGGAATGTTACCATTAAGAACGTAAAAATTGAAGGTCGAAAAGTCTTAATCGTCCTACTTAACGTACAGCTTAGTAGTATGACAATGTTGTCAGTAAGTCTGTGCTAAAGAAGAATACTTCCTTGATTTCATTCTCAGAGGGTATAAACGATCGATGAGGTCAATAAATGTATTGTCATCGAAAGACAGCACATCGCCACTATATCTTACTGTAAAATTGAATGACTTTGCTAGATAAATGTTTCCAGTCCAGAACCATGTTTTTGAAATAAATAACTTTGACAAATTTAAATGGCTTAATGGGTTTAATGTAAAACAAATCGACATTTTCTGATAAACAAGGAGCCCTAAGATCCTAACATTTTATCTGTATGATGCGTGGTGAGGGGATGTAGAGCTTAAGCTTGTTCAAATGAATATTCCTGATCAACAGTCAAAGCTACAGGAGTCAAGTGTATTGAATAACCAAGAGGTGAATGATGATGAAATTTGGCATACACACTCTCAAACATGACGGAGAAGGGATATCAAGTTTGTTAAAGTGAAGGACCTTTACAAGCTTCCAATGGCACAGTGATCAAATGTGCCGTAATATCTTTTTGTCCGTCATCAAATAAGTTTGAATTAGTGATATTAAACTTTAGAGTGACAGTTTCTGTCGCTTGCCGCTCGCGTAGATAACACATTATCAGGTTTGTTTAAATTAATTACCTTTACCAGATTTGAATAGCCAGTAGTAACAAGGTAACCATATTTGTTTCAGATTCGTTTGAAATATATGTGAACGGACAAGAAATGTTTTCCAAAATCAAGGTTAATGCTTTTCCAAACTACGATGAGGTGAGTTATTTTAGTAGACAGTATTACAGGTAACTGTTGTAATGGTTATATTTTTGCGATGTTTCGATACAGTTAAATCGTCACGGATATCACTTTAAAGCTTTACATATGTCCGCCAAACAAACATCTTAATATGTTTGTTTTTTACATGTAACATAGTCCTTCTCTTAGTTCGTAACAAGCTTTGCTGTTAATACCTTTAATTTGTTCACAGTCTGAATAGGATAACCGTATTAAATACCAGTATATTGCAATTATTTTGAACCTCAAATACTATGCTTACTTTCTCTTACTTATATGAACTTGAACAGATGGTTAATACATGTATATACATAACAAATGTGTTTTTATTTGCAGGTGGTGGAGGACATACTAACTACATTTTGTAAAGATAACAACGAAAGGCGAAAATCCTCCTTATGTACAGTTCTGTAGGGAAAACTTTAAAATTCAGTTGCGTGAAAAGAAATCTTTTTAGGTTCAATTCTGCCATGTGTCTTATTTTAAGATAGAATACAGTAAAAACGACTATTCTTTTGATGTTTCTTAAAATAAAGTATACTTATCCTTTCGGAGATTGTAATATCATGAAAGTAAATAACTGGCCTAAATGTTACATACAGTATCAACTTAATTGAAAAATAAAATTACCAAAATGTTCGGTACATATTAACGAGCCCTTGGTGCTTGTGATGACTGGTACTCCTAATGACTGTAACTAACTCAAAGCCTTTACCAAGGCAGGTTAGTACGCGATATAAAGAGTGTCAATACCACGCGTTCTATGTGTGAACATGCTACTAGAATAAAGATGTATTGCACAGAAGGGTTGTGTCTTTATTTATGTTTTCCGATTATTTACGTATTATTGTTGTTTGTTTTATGATTTTATACGTATTACTGTTGTTCATGTTTTACGTTTCTGAACGTATAACTGCTGTTTTAAGTTGTACGTTTATGTCCGTATTACTGTTTTGTAAGTTCTACGTTTATGTCCGTATAACTGTTTTGTAAGTTTTACGTTTATGTCTGTATTATTGCTGTTGAAGTTCTTCGATTATATCCGTATTACTGTTGTTTATGTTTTACGTTTATGTACGTATAACTGTTGTTTTTTGTTTTACGTTTATGTCCGTATTACTGCTGTTTATGTTTCACGTTTATGTCCGTATTACTGTTTTTATGTTTTACGTTTATGTACGTATTAATGTTGTTTATGTTTCACGTTTATGTCCGTATTACTGTTGTTTACGTTTATGTCCGTATTACTGTTGTTTATGTTTTACGTTTATGTCCGTATTACTGTTGTTTATGTTTTACGTTTATGAACGTATTATTGTTGTTTAAGTTTTACGTTTATGTCCGTATTACTCTTATTTAAGTTTTACGTTTATGTCCGTATTATTGTTTTTAGGTTTTACGTTTATGTCCGTATTACTGTTGTTTATGTTTTACGTTTATGTCCGTATTATTGTTGTTAAAGTTTTACGTTTATGTTTGTATTACTCTTGTTTAATTTTTTACGTTTATGTCCGTATTACTGTTGTTTAAATTTTAGGTTTATGTCAGTATTACTGTTGTTTATGTTTTATTTTTATGTCCGTATTATTGTTGTTTATGTATCACGTTTATGTCCGTATTATTGCTGTTGAAGTTCTACGTTTATGTCCGTAAAATTGTTGTTTATGTTTCACGTTTATGTCCGTATTACTGTTGTTTTTATGTTTTACGTTTATGTCCGTATTATTGTTGTTTAAGTTTTACGTTAATGTCCGTATTACTGTTGTTTAAGTTTTACGTTTATGTCCGTATTACTGTTGTTTTTATGTGTTACGTTTATGTCCGTATTACTGTTGTTTATGTTCCACGTTTATGTCCGTATTACTGTTGTTTTTATGTTTTACGTTAATGTACGTATTACTGTTGTTTAGGTTTTACGTTTCTGTACGTATTACTGTTGTTTATGTTTCACGTTTATGTCCGTATTACTGTAGTTCATGTTTTACGTTTCTGAACGTATTATTAAAGTTTAAGTTTTACGTTTATGTACGTATTACTCTTGTTTAAGTTTTACGTTTATGTCCGTATTACTCTTGTTTAAGTTTTACGTTTATGTCCGTATTATTGTTGTTAAATCCGTATTACTGTTGTTTATGTTTTAAGTTATGTCCGTAAAATTGTTGTTTATGTTTCACGTTAATGACCGTATTACTGTTGTTAATGTTTTACGATTATATATATAGTGCGCTTTTAATGTATTACAATTATTCATTATAAGGATTATTTATGTACAATTGATTATTCAAATGAGGTCAATGTCATCAAAAGATAGACATGTGATTAATCTCATACAAAAAGAATAAGTTTCTATTTGACCAAAGGTCTGCAGGTTATCATACACTATAAAGTGCACGATCAACTAAAATCAGCTGGGAATAATATATCAACGTCAAGACAGACTGAAGTGAGTTACACACTACTGCAGGTTATACTGGATAGATTGCTGGACTTTTATATTGCCGCTGGATAGTCCTAACCGAACGAGACCAATACACAATAATACCACATTTTATATATTTACAAGACAAGTACGATTATGTTTAATTACCCAGATCGGTTTTATATTAAATCGCAAGATCAGACGGTAGCAAATGCACTTATAGCTTTATCATATCATGATCAATATCACAATGTAGTGGACTACAATGTTGTCGCCCTGTTATTCACATCTTGCACGCGCTCTGGAAACCGTAAGATGACATTTCTTTGTTTGGATCTTGATCAAGTATTTAAACACCACCTGATTGTGAGTTATTTTAGTATCCAATCTGGTGAATACGCGTTGAGTGATTGGTATATACGACACTATGACAGGTGAATCATTGGCCCTTTATATCAACGGCTTCACTGTACTGTAATGCGAGTTAAGAAACAGTTACACGGGAAAGAAAAGATTGGTAACTGATTTCAGCTTTAATTTTTGCGCGTAACCAAATGATGTACGAGTGTTCAAATTGTATTCACTCGAGATCGCCATGTTCAATCCCTTCTTCTGAATGAGAACCAGCATACTCGAATGATTTGTTGTTAACATATACACACCACAGCTCATATAGTTAGTGCCAGGCAGGTGAATGTGAGCAGCAATGTCCTGCTTAAGGACATAGTGGACATACCCCAAAACACTGGTGTTAAAATTGTACTACATGGCTCCATCCACATTTTGGTCCGATTCTACAAAATGCGGTAGTGCAAGAAACAGCGTTTTTCCAAACTTGAGGTTAGTTTTCATGATCTATCAAAAAGTATGTTTTCCACTTTTTGGACCCTTCGAACACCCTTTCCGCTAATAATTTGAACAATTACATGTACATAATTCTGTATAACTAATAATGCCATATACCAAGTTATATCCAATTTCGGTCAGTAATTGTCAATCATTATTCTGTGACTGATTTTTTTCCCAATAGCACTCCACATTTAGAAATCTACATAATAATATTCCTGATTTAGCTATATACTTGACGACACATTTTAAAGATACAGAAGAAAGCATGCATTGATACTGCACAGATATGTACCTTAATTACTACATGTTTATCTAAAGTTATCAAACCAACTATTAATAATAATAATAATAATATACAACATTTATATAGCGCCCTATATGATTTGTAAAATTACTCTAGAGCGCTTTACAACATATGGATAATAGTAATGGTTATAATTGTGAAAACAAAAAACAAAGGCTTACAATCACTTTCATACATTTAAACAAGCAATGCGCACATAATTGAACAAATAAAAGGGTGGTATTTACATGACGTCTTTGCACAGATTCTAAAATGTAGACGTGAAGAGGTGAGTTTTGATGTCCCTCTTGAACTTGGCCAGGGTATTTGACCTTCTAATAGCAAATGGTAAGCTATTCCACAACGTAGCCGAAACCCTCCCAAAGCGTCTGTTTCCGTAGGTCACGGTATGAGATTTTTGGACACACAACAAAGACTCTGACTCCGACCGCAGTGATCGTGACGGCTGATACAGGGTAACAAGCTCATGTAGGTACTGAGGAGCTGTTCCATTCAGTGCCTTGTATGTGTACATCAGAATTTTGTACTGCGACATGAATCGTACAGGTAACCAGTGCAACGAATAAAGCACAGGTGTGATGTGCTCTCTCTTTCGAGGACGAGTAACTAGCCGTGCTGCAGTGTTCTGGACCCTCTGCAGACGACTAGTTAGTTTGTCAGATATACCACAGAGCAGGGCGTTACCATAATCCAACCGAGAGGTAACAAGTGAATGCACCAAAATCTTGCATGCATATGAGTTAAAAACTGCCGAATACAGCCGATGCTCCTGATCTGGTGGTAACAGAATTTGGCAATAGCGTTCACTTGTTTCTCCATGTTCAGTGAACTATCAAAGTATACCCCTAGGTTTTTAACAGCTGGAACAGTCTCAATAGTTCTGGCACCAACCTTGAGCTGGAGAGTCATTGTTTGCTGACACTTTGGGGAAAAGACGATTAGTTCCGTCTTGTCCTGATTAAGTTTAAGCATGTTGGCGTTCATCCAGATACTGATATCTGTCAGACAAGCTTCCAGACTTTGTGAGACTGAATTCCAACTGTCCTGTGGTTTGATGACCATGTAAATTTATGTGTCATCGGCATAGCAATGATAGCGAAGGCTATGGCGACGACAAATCTCTCCAATCGGTTTGGAGTACATACAATATTTTCGTGGTCCTAACACCAACCTTTGAGGAACCTCAAGAAGATTCTATACCAGATATGTATGCTTCAACAAGATCATCAACCTCGCCTTCAGTAGATTGAAGGGCGGAACAAGACTGAATGCCATTTTTGAAATCTCGTATTGAATTTTCGCGGAATTTGCGGAAGCTCACTTCTTTTCTTGCACGAGCTGGCTTAATACAATTCAGTGTTGTGTGGACAGCAAGATGATCACCGGATTGGTTCCCCTTTACATCACTTAGACATGGATCAATCACTGAAATAGTGTGTAGCCATGGATGTGTGTAGCTTCTGTCACATGCTGAATCAGACCCCAGGAATCTAGTAGACCAGAGAACTGGCGAGCATCAACATTAGATAGATCGTCTAAGTGGAAAGTTAGATCACCCGTGATAATAATCTCTTGTGGTACAACAACTTGGTGGTCTAAAAAGGTAGACCATTCATCAAGGTATTGAAATACAAAGAGACATCAACAAAATACAACGCCTTTCTGTATGTCAAACCTATAGGATATCCACGAAAAGTGTTTTGGCTTATCATGTTTTAAATTAGTTAACTTTCGTCTTCATGTAATGTTATAATACAGATCTTCATTTCGGCTTACAAATAATTATGGGGAAAATCACTAAAGATACGAAGAAATTAAGTACCTGTTTAAATATTGTTTTTAGATGCAATACAAAAACGAAGTCAACATTTTACTCTAACGTATGACTACTCCGTTCATTTAGGACTTGTATGACAATCGTACTTCTGGTCAAAATAAGAATGGAAAATCCATGTACAAAGTATTCCAAAACAAACAGAGAGTACGTATACCTGAAAAAGGGAAGTGTGCCCGTTAAACACTTGATAACGTTGCCAACTTGCAACTTTTGGTTACGATAGATAATTTTTATTTAAACTAGTATGTCATGCAAGCCATACTAAAATAAATCAAAACTTCAAGAAACTATAATACCTCAAAAAAAAGAGAATTCTCAGATTTAGGTTTTCAGGATTGCTTTTGATACTTGCAGAACATTAGTTATACAAAAATTGTGTCTCATGGCTAATCTGAATAAGATGATAAGAAATCCAACTGAATCAAGTAATACTTAATTTGCACCGGTCACTCTTGTTATGACGACTTAACAAGCGACTTCAATCAAGTGTCTTTAGCCGAATTTTCCATCTGTGTAGTTTTTAAAATGCTTTAGACCTCAAGTTGTTCAATTTCGTGGGGCTATTTAAAAAGAGGTATGGGGAAGCATAAACTATACCACTGAGCACAAATCTAAATTCAGTTGAATTATAATATGTTTTGGCAGAAGATAATGCTTTATTCAAATACTATAATATTTTTTTTAATCTGAAAACTTTTTCTGTAATGACTTTTGGGATTTCTGTTTTAAGAATCACAATAGCAGAGTATCTCTAAATAATCATAACCAATAAAGTTCATATCTTTGAAAGTGTCCAGTCAGGAAACGAGCTTAAATGTGTTTTTAAGGTTGCTTTGATAATTGTATTCTTATCCACATTACATTTCAGAAGCTTCGAAAATTCATGAGGCATTTTAGGTAGGAATAAATACATGAACTTTAGAATCCTGTCAGTGTAAATTCAATATTCATAACATTTAATAACAAGAGGTCCAGAAGGCCTGTAACGCTCACCTTTTCGTTTTGTTACATGGAACTGACATATAGGTAACTTCAGACCAAATTTGGTAACTAGAACACAAGACATTTTAGCATCTCATAAACGGTTCTTAAGATATTGTTGTTTGAAATTTGAAATTTTAAAGTTTTTAACCCACATTAATCTTTGACTCTGGCTAGCACTTAAAGTTGACCTTTGATCTAATTACTGTAATAAAGAAATAATTCCCACATACCCAAGTATCATGACCACAAATCAAATGGTTCATAAGATCTTGTTATAGCATTCCATCCCAGGTACCTACTGGCCAACTATTATGACCCTGAGCCTTATGGAACTTGAGAAGATGGTTAAAGCTTTAAACCCATGTTGACCTTTAACATACCCATGTATTATGATTCAAGTCCAAATGGTTCTTAGGATGTTGTTGTTTGTAGTTGTTAACATATTTGACCCCTGTGACCTTGAAACTAGGTCAAAGCCATTTTAATGAAAAAACGTTATAGCACTCCATCCCAGGTACCTACTGGCAAAGTAGCATGACCCTGGGCCTTATGGAACTTGAGAAGATTGTTAAAACTTTTAACCCACATTGACCATTGGCCCCCGACTAGCATTTAAAGTTAACCTTTGACCTCATTAATGTAATAAAGAAAAAGATTCATACAGCTGGTCTTCATAATATACTCAAGTATTATGACTCCTTATGGTCCTTTAAATATTGTTGTTGGAATTTTTACACATATTTGACCCCTGTGACCTTGAAACTTGATCAAGGTCATTTTAATGGGGAAACTTTATGGCACTTCATCCCAGGTTCCTACTGGCCAAATATCATGACCTTAGGTCCTCCAGTTCTTCAAAAGAAGTCGTTCAAAAGAAAACGTTGACGGACAGACAACGGACATTACATGGCCCTTCGAGCCAGGTGAGCTAAAAACGTGTAAAAAACGTGTAAAAATAAACTGAACAAATTGTACATTGTAAACAGTCATTTCATTTCAATCATATTTTCATAAATAGTCACATTTAATATAATATCATTCATGACACAAAAAGAATATCACAGTCAACATGATTTGGACGGTTGATACATTACAACGCATTGTCTTAATATTGAAGAAATTGTTTCTGAACACTTTATCTTTGAGAAATAGCAGGAACACAACTGTACTTTAGTTATTTTAATATACACCGTCTTTCTGTCAAGAAAGTTGTTTATGAACTTCTGCTACTCAAATAGCAGGAATACTCAAATAGCAGGAACACAATTTCATAAATAACCTATTGAAGTATGTATACAAATGCATAATTTATTTCTGATTTCCTAAAATACCTGAAAGAAAATTCGCACAACAGTATTTCGGTATTATTGGGTGAAATGATATGATTTCATTAGAGTTATAATTTAAGACTTACAAAACAAGTCTACACGTTTTTTTAAAACAGTTTCATGTAAAACTATGAATTTTACAAAAATCATATCATTATCAAGAATTCAAACAAATAAACAAATTATTTTACTTATCTTCAGCATAAGCCTATGGTTATCGTGACATTACATGATATAACATAAAATACCATCACTATTTTTAAGTTATTTTTATGTCTTTAAAATCTTGTCTGAATCACATTGGTGCAATGTATACAATTAATAACTTGGTCAGGCAAAAATCAGGATTTGTTATGGACCTAAACTGCCATTACCAACAGTTTTGACAAATCCACACGATTCTTGTTTTAGAGATAGTAACAGCTGGTGTGCAAGCTTAGTGTTCAAACAAATTTTGAAATTTTGGCATAGCAGAACTATAATGAAGCCTTACTGAAGATGTGTTTATGTTAAACATACTTGAACCATTCAATAAGCTAGGTTTTTCCTGATCTTGGTTTCTGTGTATTTTCAGCATTGACTTTCTCAGCTGAAGAGGGTAGACGGCGTTTGGTGGGCCCTCGAGCCACCTGCCTGGTACGTGTACCAAAGCCCATACACTGAAGGGACTCCGTGATATAGCGCTGGGAGGGTGACACACACAGCAGCACCAGTAACTTAGCATCTCCACCTAAACAATGTAAACATTAAGTCAGTGTAGAAAAGCACTCTGGCCTGCTGGAGAATGTACATGTAACAAAAGATTTTCCAGCTGTACAGCCATCGGCCATTTAGGTCCAAAATCGACATTTTAGGTAGATATTGTAATACAATATCACTCAATCAGAATTAAGGAAACATGTGTAACTGCATTGACTATGGACAAATTAACATTACAGTCATGTCTGAACTTGAGTTGTGACCTACCTATAGAGTCCTGCAGTAGATGGGTTAGACGACTGTTTCTATAGGGAACATGACCTCTATGTTCTGACAGAGCACCGAGGACATCAGCCAGGGCAGAAAGACTCTTGTTGATGTGTGAAGCTTCTCGTAGAGCAGCGCCGGTCACACCACTCATCCCTGTAGAGAGACAAACAGCAAAACATATACATCATGTCATCCTATTACAAGTTTGTATTTGTTACTGTTTTACTAGTAAATCGTAAGCATTGTTCAGTACATACCACCATAAAGACTCCTGTACCCAAAAATTTGGTAATTCCATTTTATCAATCAAGTTAATTCAACAACACAATAATTGGTCACATTAAATTTTTAATATAAAAGACACAATAAGTAAACAAGTTTTGTAACGATAATCTTTTATATAAACAATTTACCATAGATTAGTGGTGTCCATTCTTTATCCTGGATCATGAAAATGTACTTTAATTTACATGTAAATACTTTATGAAAAATGTTGAACAATAAAAGTAATGTTATAGACTAACTACAATAACCAAACACACTTTTTGCAAAGGATTTCTTCCCTAGAAACAGTATTAGTGGTTGGCCTTACCAACACATTCACTGCCAGCGAGGTCAACCAATTGCAATTTGGTCCTGATGACAGCCTGGCTATCACTGGATGATGGTGTGTCAGTAACTGGTCCTGGGCCACTTATCATTGACATGGGGACAGACAGGGACCGTCCCCTAGCATCTCGACTTGTCGTCTGTTGCATAGCCCCTTCAAATGAAACAGGAATTATTATATATTTGTACAATAGTTCCAAATAACAGTGATTGGAACTTTACAGTACATAATTACAGCTAACATCAATTTTCTTCTCATTTAAGAGTCACCATGTTTTTACAAAATAAATTAATATAAGTGATTCATGACTATGTCGGATCATTTTATTTTACAGGTAACTGATAATATATATATGAGAGGGCTCTTAAAATATCAAGATAACGCAAATCTTATTGGAACTTTTAGGAAAGTTTGGGAAATATGTTTAAACGGAAAATAAGGTCTTCTATACTGTAAAAAGAAACATTATAAGTTGATGTGAAAGTATTATTTTTAACTTAAAATCCTTATAAAAACAATGGAAACCATTTTTGTAATCCTAATTCATGCTAAGGTGAGTTCAGATCCAAACTGAAGACATAGACAGTTTATATAATCAACATACTCGTCCTGCATTTCATTACATTTCATTACATTTTACTTCCAATATACGAATTACACATAATACAATTCATCATCCATTGATAATTCATTAGATATCATATATAGTTATTGAAAAAAAATGTTTCTTTATATATCTCTAAGAAAACAGCTGCTAATTGGCATGTAAACGCTTGCTGTAAATTGTAAATTAATAAAAACATGAAATTAAAAAAAAAAAAATTCCAAAATGAGCTTCACATTCTTTGCAGTTAATGTTTTGGTACTTAGATTAAAACCTCTTTCACATAAAGGATTTTTAGGTTTAGTAAACTGACCAGTCTACATTATGCACATTGAATTTTAAATTATTTTATCCAATTTAACAGTTTCTGTTTATGTTGTTTGTGAAATGTACAATTTCATTTGCCTGTACAAATCAATATACATGTGTTCCGCAAATACCAGCAACATAAAAGCATACAGGTTCAACAAGGAAAATTGTATTAAGTTTTGAACATGTTATATAGAGGGATACTGCCAGGTAATATAATTTTAAATTATGGTACACACAATGCTTAACATGATGAATTTAGAATTCATGACCTGTCACCAACATATCTATTTAAGTGTTCTGTAAATCAAGGACCAAGTACCAATACTGGTCTGTTATTGTTATTTCTAGCTTATACAGCAAGTAAATACACCCAGATAGAGACACAGACTGGCTGCGAACGTGGAGTACCACGTGTTTGATTGGTTGACTTCTATACGTAGTCACTCTTTAATACACTCTACAGGTATAATTAAATTACATCTATTCCATGGTAAAAACAGGGTTTCAAAAAACCTGATATAAACCAGATATGACACAAGAGATGTGATCATACATCTAAGTGGAATGTACTGTAATAATATAAAAGGGACAAGGGATATTTTTTTGAAAATATAAAAACATGGGTAATGGCATGCCAGCGAAGAATCACAGTCCAACAGAGACTGAAACACAAACACATTGAAGTCACAGGAAGGAAGGTTCGGGGCAGTCATAGCCTTGTGTTGTCAAATTACTTACAAATACGAAAAACATTGGGAATTCCAATTTCATCATCCTTAGAATACCCTGTAATTTATCAATCAACTTTGAATCTTAAATCCATTTACTATCTGGTTTAATCATTATGAATGCCATTAGATGAGTGTAAATTGATAAAATGTCAATATTATTTTCAAAAAAAGGAGTAGTTAATTCAAAGACAAAAATATTTGCAAATTTTATTTACATGTACTAAAAATATCAAAACCGTTCAGCCGTGCAATCTTTAAACAGGTTATAATTTTCCTTGTATGACTATACATGTATCATAAACTAACATTACTTAAATCATACTGTAGCTGAAGAACTATTTCAAATGTGAATTTTATCAAATAGTTTCCCAAATGCAAAATAAAATGAGGTAAAAACTGTACAAATCATATATATTTTAGTTTCATTGTCAATAATTGAAGAAACAGGTTGAGTGAAATAGACTGCATTTTGATTCCGACCTGTCTGCTACTGGTAAGGTAATACCATGGTCAATGGCATAAATATATGTATGTAAATTATGTCTTTCTTGTGATTATCCTCAGGTGTAAAAATATATAGTGTATAATCTGTACCAGTCTTAGATCCTCTCACACTTCTTTGATTCGCCAAAACTTTCAAGGCATCACTGTTATTTATTAAGTCATGATCATAAACATGCAGCTAGCATTCTAAAATAGAATTCAAACATATCTTGTCTACTGTCCCTGTAATACATGTACCCTATAGCTAGCTACATGTGTAGGTAGCAGATCAGCCAATTATACTTACCATAATCCATATAATATATACCTAGTTGAGAGCATAGTCACATAATAATTTCATTTTACGTTTAATTTTGCATTCTATATTTTATACACTAGTACCATGCTTGATATTCCTTACCAATGATAAAACTGAAGCTACATGTATATTTTAGATCCTAAATTAAAAATGTAAACAGGATTCCCTCTAATTAATACAATTACTGTCAATGTACAAGATTTAGCGTTAGACTTATTTTGGCACCTTTTCCACTTTAAATATTATGCTAAATTATGTTTACACCAATGGAAGTTCCTGTACATTGAGATTTTTTTTGGAAATTTGGAATAAAATTTGATAACGCACTAAAATTGAGAGCGCTAAAATAAGTATGTATATGATTGATTTTGTTGTTGTTGACATTTTCCACATTACTGATAAAGATAAACCTGTTTTTCCTGTGATATACTGAAGACTTATTTTGAAAATAAATTATTAATAGAATAATGAAAATACACCAAACAACAATCACTTTAGTGATAGCATAGTTTCTTTAGATAGCAATTACCAACTGGTTACCTTCTACATTCCCTATCTGTTCATAATTAAAACCCTAATTAATATTTTCATTGTATCATTTATTTGCTACTTACCATCCTGTGTGGAGGGTTTGGAAAAGAAGCTGGGAGCCTGGGAGTTTACTGTCAGAGTGACCACTAAGTGAGACCGACTGGAGTGATCATGGACAAGAGTGGAGGACTCGCGTCTGGCCTTCAGGCCGCGCTGGACTAGACACATAACGTCATAAACAGTGTCCACTTCTCTGTGGAGATACAGGTTGTAAACAAATGTTAAACTGGGAATCAGGACAACATTCCTACATGTATATACTATTTTTACACTATTGAACAACCTTAAGACCATGACAATGATAACATTAACGCCAAGGATTTGGAAGTGAAACAAGACCATACTATTATCCCTAGTAATACACTTTAGTTTTTTTCAAATGTTTCTTCAGCTGGTCAAAAGGTAAACATAAGAAAAATTTAACCATTAAATGTATTTTTGGACTCTTATTGTTGTATTAATATTGGCTTTGAAGTCAGGGAGACATATATATCATGGAGTCAGTTAAATTATGACATTTAAATGAGTTTCAGACTACACTGAGATAAAACCGTAAAATGGCACTGTCTCAATGGCAGATCTGTGACTTACTTGAATGAGATGGTGGGTAGGTTGATGGAATTGTCTACCCCTGTACTGATGTCGTGTTTGATGTTAGGGTCACTTCCGAGGAGGTCCCGAATGTCGTTGTTATATATCTCCACAACAGACACCTCTATGGTATGATGTCTCTCCGGCTTCTCTGAGATCAACCTGGTAAAGTCATAAGAAACTCTCAAGTACATGTAAAACATGCCAATTACTCTCATATGTCTTATCTAACTGTCTAGATAAATCAAACATCACATCCAAGCATTTCAATCTAAAAGTAATTACACAAATATCATAATTAACTATCCAGTAAACACAAAGTAGGGGACTCGTATATATACTCCACTAATGATCAGGAAACTTAACGAACTTGTGGAAATTGACTTTCCTCAAGGTAATATACAGTACAGTGCCTAATACATTCCAGCCTTGTTTAACTGGGGTCAAATCGTCAAGACAAACCAACTCAAGCTTCATCACTGCCCAAGGATTCTCTTTTTCTTTACCTGAAGAGTTCTCTTGCTGCACGAGGGATGACACCTTCGTCAGGATGTGGCTCCGGGGATGCATTGTAATCCTCGTTCTTGTGACTACCCAGCATCGTGTGAGTCTTGCCACTCCCCGTCTGTCCATACGCCATGATACAGATATTGTACCTGTCAAAATCAAACAAATACCATCATCCCTGCAAGGTTTCCCACTCAACCATACAGTTATAAAGAACTTGGATACATTAGTTAAAATACTGATCATGTTACAAATAGTATAATACATATCTATTATCTGTCTTTAGTAGATATATATTAATTTGAATGATGTTTTCTTTCTGTACCTTTGTGAAGATTTTCTTTTGATTTAATTTCAGGAGCCCAGACCCACTACTCCCATCATCTCTATACAAATTGTTACACATATCAGACAATATCCATTAAAAACAAGTAAACTCACACCAGTGATGTACATACAATATACATACCCATCCAATAACGATGTCAGCATTGGCTGGACTTCATAAAATACATTTTCTTGACTCTCTTTAGGATCATACACTCTGAAGGAAGAAGACAATCAAATGTATTGAACTACCACTCCAGATGTATCTTAAAGTAAGCTACACATACTGTATGTAGAATATATGATATCATCAGCCCTTTCCAGATATTGGATTTACGATTTTTCATGAGATCAATCCTGTAGAGTTGATATGACCCCAGTACTAGTACTGTATACAGCTTCGACTAAACATTCTTTATAGAAATTATATGAAAAATACCAATCTGTGCAATTAGTGGGATTTTCCCCAAATACCAATCTGTGCAGTGTGGAATTATCCTAGTGGGATTTCCCCCCAAAGTTGAAATAGGTCTTTGGAGTTACTTAACCAAATAAATTCCTGTTTGTCATATTAAATTCAGATTCTTCTTGTCGCAAAATAACACTCTATGTAATTGTTCATACAGAGCTTAACAAAATAATATCCATCAATTGTGAAATATTTGGTGGAAACTTTACGATGTATGGTATAGGTGTTGTGGCTAACATTTCAATGTGAGATACTTTTATGCAGTAAAGTGGCTTACCTTTCAAATTCAAACACTTTGTTATGTTTGGCTGTCCGTACACATGCATTCTCCTATACAAAATATTAATAAAGGTGTTTACTTATATCTTATTATTAATGGCAATATAACTATTTAGAGCAATTTCACATTTTATATAAAGCTAAATAGGTGACTTTACAAAAATGAACTTGTAAAAAAATGAATAACTAAAGTTAAACTAAATTCAGTAGGATATGTCACTTTTTTATTGGGAGAGAAAAGTGTGACAATGTTGGAAAGACATTTACAGATGAAAGAAGGTTGTGTTATCGAAATTGTTTTACTTACATCATCCACATAATGCACAACCACCTCAGACTTTGTTCCAACTCTAAAACAAGAAACGTTATCTTCATACTATCTCATAATTTCCCTCTGATTACATATATACCATGTATATCTGACAATATGTAAAAACATTATACATGGTCCTAACCCCTCTGGAACTTTATGTAGTTATATACATCCTACTGTATAATGTAATAATGCATTGAAATACCAAATAATTGGAATATAAATTATAATTTAATAATAATAATGTATGTCATATTAATTTCTAGTGACATCATAAAAATTCATTGTACTTTGATATAAAAATATATAAGTTTCTGGTGACATTGTTAAAATCCATTTTGATTTAATGACCTTGAATCATGATTTCTCTCAGTCTTAATGACTGTAAATAATGATTTCACTGAGTTTTGTTTTCATATGTATATAAGAATATGATGACAAATATACCTTCCCAGTGTTGATGGGTCCTCTACACCAGTATCAAACTCCATCAGTGGTCGTAGTCGACAGTGAACTCGTATATTACCCCGCAGTTCCTGGACAACCACAAAGAAATTAGTCACATTTCACTACTTATTTAGTTTAATGTATCTTCAGCTTCAAAATTATTGGGAAATTAATTCAGGGACACAAAATAAAATTTAAATAAAACATATTACAACTCACAATTTATTAATCTCAACACACTGCTCAATAAAAGAATCCCGGATTTCAACCTTTGAAAAGTTGAAAATTCTTTAAATTAAAAGAATGTATTTCATGTTTTTGCACAGTCCAGGAGAAAGTAGTCCCTTGTACATTCCTCAGGATTTACTATTTGTTTTCATAAATGTAATTCATGAATTTATAAAGCAAATGGTACAAGACCAATCAAATGTGTTATACCATGAGCGTGTTATGAAGTTCCTGTCTTCGTTTCTTTTCCTTTGCATGGCGATCTGTGATGTCATGTAGTGCTGTGTTCATTTGTTCGATCTTGTCTTGTAGAACAGAGAGACTGGAGGTCTGAGATTGGAAAACATGACGGTGGCGATGGATCACTGATGAAGCATGATCGATTTGTAAACCAAAGTCCTGTGGCATCTTTATGGCAATCTTGTGGACATTGGATAAGTCTTCCCGTAATCCCTGTGAATTTTCAAAACAAACACATGATAGTTAATCTCAATCAGTTTAGGAACACGATCCTTTTTTCCAATGTTATATATTTTGTTTTGCCTTGAAACAATAATTTGATGTCACTTATACATATTCTGTGAGGTTGAAGAATAGCTTTAAGTTTAAAAGTTAACAGTGTTATATTAAACAAAGGGGTCAAGGAATCAGAACACTCTAAAATAACTGAAATTTTGAAAATGTCCAGTATACAATGTATATATATATACACAGATGCTGTCTCTAAAGACTTACATTAATATCATGTTTCAGTTTTGCTGCTGACTGAGCAATGGTTTTCCTGAATTTTTGTTCATATTCACACTGGTTTTGTAGGCCTGACATGTCCTCCCTGCTACTCTGCAGTGCTCCCCTCAGCTGGGCCAACTTTAGGTACAGCATCGCATTTTCTGTTTCCAATGTTGATATACGTTCATCCTTGGTCTGAAATTATATTTTTTCATTTTCAATTTCCACAGGAGTATATACCGTTTATAAATCTGTCATTGCTACCTTTAAAAATTTGTTATGAATTTGGAATCGAATAAATTTGAAAACATGGATACATGCATATGGTGTCAAATAGTTTCATTGATTGCTTAATTATGTAACATGAAAGAGAATAGTGTGTTTCCACCAGGGATCGAACCTGTGATCCCTAGGTTCCTAGTTGGATGCTCCACCACTTAGCTGAAGGGAAATCCCCTATAGCTCGAATTTAGAAGGCAGCCGTTATCCTATGTACAATTAAAATCTGCCACACTACTCCCCTAATGAGATAGAGATCATTTGTATACATTATTAATAGGGCAAAGAAATTACCAAAATTCCAATGACAAAATATCCTTATTTCAATCTTGTACAGGTTGGGCACAACGGCACATATGGGTAATAATCCTGCATTTGGGTAACAGTTACCCATTTCAGTAACAACTTTATTACTGAAATTAGGAATAAAGTGAAATAAAAACACACATATGTTCACATCTTGGTATTTTTAATAGCCGTTAATTACCTTATCTCTAGCATAGCCCGAGTTTCCTCTGGCCCTAACACCAGACTTAGACATTTTGACATATGCATGTGTAGATCTCAAAATTCTAAGTCTGGTGTCACGGTCAGAGGAAACTCGGGCTATCTGTATCACAGCACTGAAAATATCACACTGAACTCAACATATTACAAACATTATTTGATGGTAAATAACTAGCTATAATAAACAGTTTTCTGTACCCTCATATCCTTTTCATAATGTTTGATTTTGTCAGCGTAAAAGTGACTTCTGTCGATACCCAGGGGCATGCTGACAGGATGACGTCTGCTGCTGTCACTTTCCCTTGAATACAAACGCGTCTGAACACAACACAAACACTCCACTCGGAACAATCGGAATATACACTATACAGTTAGGGTGAAATCCGAGAAAATCCGAGAAATGTTCATTATTTTTTTTTAAATTCATTATGAAATGTTGAACTATAACAAACAGAGAATGCTCCGAATAAACATATGCACTAAATAGAAACTGATATAATTTGGCTTAATTTGCAATTAATACACGTTTACTATATATTATAAATTGTTACTATTCCGGATATATGTTTCCGGTACGTACTTCAAAACTAGTCGTACTACAGATACTTCCGGTAAAACCCCACGTTTTGGTACTGTAGAAATTTGTAAAAGTCATGTCGGGGGTTTCACCAAACGGTGAAGAAATTGATGAACATTTGAAGAAGTTTCTGGAACAACATGCAAATCAGCTTCAAGCCTCAGGAGTTCCAAGTATATATTGGCAGTCTCTCTTCGTCAAACTGAAAGAAGACGTGAGTCGTGAAAGTTTCGCATTTTGATTATAACAGTACAGTTGTTACGGCAGTTGCGGATCACTTTGCATATAATTGCTACACACGATTTTTGCAAAACCTTTTTTTAAAGACATCATATATTTTCAGAAAGTACATTTAATTACCTCTCCAGTGATACCAAAAGATCTTCATAGAATCAAATATACACAACGAAATAAGTAAAACAAGACCTACCGATTTGTCGGCTATAGCGGATCAGTACGGCTATAACGGATCACGCCCTTTGGCGGGCCTCACGATTCAAGTTAGATGGGACGTCTCAAAACACTCATTTCAAAGATAACTGATAGCAACTAATTATTAATTGGAGCCTTTGCAACGAATACACTTTAAATATAACTCCAATACTTGTGCCAACTCTCAAAACATATGTAGAAATTTGAAATCGTGAATGCACGTGGAACGATGGTATGCGAATGCATACGCGTGAGCAGATGAACACTGATCCGTTATAGCCGAAAAATCACACATCGGATATGACACAATAACGCAGCATTATCCAAGTTACCAAACAATACATGATTTTGAAACAAAACACGATAATTCATCATTTAAATGCATATTTATTTGGTTGTAAGTGTGTATTTTCATAGAATCCATTTCTTCATCGAACCGTCCGTTTTCCAAGATGGCAGTCATCGCTAGAGGAGCAGATTGAGAAAATATAAAATTTGGGATTACTGGACATGATACGTATATGAGTTGTTGTTTTTTTTTTTGGTAGATTATAAGAAACAACTTGTTACCATTTGCAAACAATTATTTTCTTTCTAGGATCAATACATTTTGTGTAATCAGATTTTTTGTTTATTGACTATAATCCGCTACTGCCATAACAACTGTATCGGTACCAATAGACACATCTCAAACCATGTGACACTAACACGTCTTAGTGCAACGGTGTTGGTAATTTAATGATTTTCAATGATAATTGACATGATATATCATGTCATCTATAGCATTGGGATAATTTGCACATTATATGTGTAAAAGGATCGTTTTTTCACTTCAAAACCAACACCCAGGTTCAGTGATCGTGGGTTCGTCATGGTCTTACAGTCTGCATGATATGATTGAAGTTTGGCAAATAAACACAGACACCGAAATATAAAATTCAGGTAGTTTATTAATATGACATGGAAATATCTTGCCACAGGGACATGCGTTTAGACCATGCTGTCACACACTCGAGCATACATACGCATCAAAAACATGGCTTTATTTCCAAGTGGTACAAGGCCTAACTGAATATATATACTGACGGCTACAAGGCCATATGCCTATTGAATAGACGACGACATGATATACTGACGGCCACGAGCCTATTAAATAGACGACGACCTGGTTAAAATCACGGCTCTAAAATTCCTACAAAAATATTACGTGACTATATATAGAGAATTTAAACTACTATTTAAAGTACTGTGACTGGTAAAATATCTACATTAACATTATCCTATTGCCTTTGAGAAACCCTATACCTACAGCTACTACTACAGTAGAGAAGAGGTGAGCCGAACCAGTCTTGATAAGACTTTTATTCTGACTGACGAGGCACAGTAACAGGTTGTTTCGCCCTAAATCCTGTTCGCCCTAGATTGTTTTGTCCTAAAATATTTTTTTTATTTATATGCTAATATAATAATTAATATTCAAATGTATCAACTAAACTTGTTGATGACTTTCTCCAATGGTGTGAGGTATATTTCATGTAGAGTATGTGAGACCTGAGTCAGCTTTTCACAACTGCTGTATGTCATGTGCACACTCGCTTAATCTGTGACTTAAAACTACTAAATTTGAAAGAAAATACCTAATATTTTTGTTTTAGGACGAAACAACCTAGCGCAAAAGAAACTAAGGCAAACAGGATTTCGGGCTAAACAACCTGGAACCACGAAGCACACAAGTGTACCGGTTTAAATAGACAAAACACAGCAATTTGCAGGTGCAATAGTTGCGCCAAATTACTTGGAACATTTCCCACTCATATTACACAAAAAAATAATAATTTAACTTCAGGTAGTCCAAATTAACTAACTAGGTGCAGAATGTTTGACAAATGGAAACTCGAGCCAGAGTTGTAATTGGTGTTGTCATTAGGGGCAAAGACTGAGAAAGAGGAAGGATAAATGTAGCATGACTGGACTGGGTCGTTCACTGGTGACCAGGTACATGTAACTGGTTTAAATCCTGGTCTGGCCTAAAACGCATTTCACTGTCATCTCCTGTTACTTCCAATTTATGCTTTCTTATATTATGGAGCATGTAGACATATTTTCAATACCTAAAAAATCATCATTTTCAACCTTTACTCAACAGATTTCTGCAGCACATAGGGCTATTTTCAATGACATGTTCCATTTTTGGTGGTCCAAGATATTGCGAAATCTTAGGAGAAATGTGTGTCTTTATATGTCATGTCACAACAACATTTTTTCTAGTTTGTAAATCTGAAGGTATTAAAAAGCTTTGAGACCCAAAAAATATTGAAACATGTTGAATTCATATGAACACATCTAGGTTCTTTTAAATTTGGCTAGCATAATGCAGTTTCGCTCATTCCACTGGCTTAAAGTACAATTCACCTGTCAGGTAAGTACACAAAAGTACATTCTATAGATTAACTTATTTGAAATGCACTTTACCATAATTGATAACTGTTTTTCAATGAACGAAACTTACTTTAACAGCTTTTAGGCTAGGTCAAAGTAGTGAATCATTTTTCCCCATACTGTTACAGTAGTGAACTAACTGAACTGTCTATACTCTTGTGTTACTGACTTGGCTGGAATAAAATACTTCCACAAAATCCAAGAAAATGACTTGACACAAGGTAGCATATTGATATATTAATTGAACTTTTATATATACTGTTCTTCATCAACTTATGGAGTTAACCTCATTTAGTTTCAAATTCAACACACATTTATCAAAAAATCCCACAACAATTGTTTCTAAGGCATTTTCTTAATGTTACACTAGGTGTGTTTGCATGATTAAAAAATATCTTCCATAAAAACTATACATGTACCTAGGGTCAAGAATGGGGAAATGTATTTTCACTGTATACATAGGTCTCAATATAGTTGTGATCTTTGTTGACATTTGGTTAGTTAGATATATAGTCCAATGACTAATGAAAATGAAAAATTGTGTGGAGACATTATGGAGTTTTCAGTAGAATGATTCAAGACTTCCAGCCATACAATCAATACTCACAAGATGTAAGAACAAAATCTTCCTTATATTAGATTTCTAGCTGCTAGCTGTGTTGACATTGCCACTACGTACAATTGTATGTATACCTTACTTTCAAGCCCACTGATGGAAGCTTATGATATCACAGATACATACAGTGTATGAATGGAGTAGTTCTTACAACTTGGATTTTTCATATTTGTTTGTGTAAGCAACTCGAGCTCACAACAGCATCATTGAGGATTTCCTGATGTATTTCTTTTAAAAGATTATTAATCGATCATTGATTAGTTTTAAAGGGTAATCGTTGATCGATTATAGAATGTCTACTGATTCCCAGCACCAGGTCTCAATGTAGTTCGACTACCAGACGGTGCCTCCATTTTTTCTGCCGAAACATGCGCCATTGGTTGGGCCCTTGACCATATCGATGAACATGCATTAAAAAGGCAATCAATTGTTCAGACTCTCTATCTGTTCTTCAAATATTACAGTTACGAGACCTTAAAACACACTCATACAAAAACTTACTTTTCGAATATCTTGTATCTTAAAAAAATCTAAAATAACTTAACTATGGATTCCGAGCCATGACGGAATTAAAGGCAACAAATTTGTTGACAGAGAAGCAAAAAACGTGTTAAAACTCGAACAAACAAATATCAAACTACCATATACAGATTTTAAACCTATTATTCGTACAACTATTCAAAATGAATGGCAGCAATGCTGGTCTCTCGAGACCAGCAACAAACTATCTAAAGTACAACTGAACCTTACAACATGTATTCCCAGCTGGAAAGATCATAGAGAGGAAGTTAATTGTCCTTTCTCGGCTCCGCACTGGGCACACTTATCCAACTCATTCGTACCTCTTAAAACGTACCACCTACATGCCATGCATATATATGACACTCTTTTTACAATGTAACATTTTTTGATAGAATGTTCAGATTTTAAACACATTCGTGATAATTACTTTTGATATTAAAACTCTTTTCAGTTCCGTGGACTCAAAGGCATTATTTAACCATTTGAAAGCTATCGGTCTATTCTATAGACACTGATGTCTTTTAACACACCTTATATATTCTATCTACCCTCTTTGACGTTATGCATATATCACATATTCCATATAATCTATTAATTATAATTTTTATTATTTTAACCCCTTTTATTTTAATTTTTTATACATACTATGCAAATGTTTTTAAAACATGCATTTTTATCAGATTTTATCTTCGCTACTATCCTGTTTGTTGAAAAGAAAAAAAAATCACCATGGCCCTAAATGACCACAGTTGTCGATGGGCCGTTAAACACAAACAATCAAAGCTCAGTATACTATTCTGCATATTGATAAGTATTAACATGTACTATTACACTAAGAATATTTCTGTCCATTCTAAAACAATGTTATATTTTCTGTAGATTTATGATGCAGGAGAATCTTTCAAGATGCTGTGTTATGAAATGGAGAGTGATGATGAAGAGACAGACGAGACCAAAGATGTTGGAGATGATGGAGAAGAAGAAATACCTAATTACAAATGGATGATAGAAGCGACAAAAGATGTTCAGAAAGATGACTCAAACAGGTCAGTTCAGATGATAAATAGGTCAGTACATAGGATAAATAGGTCTGTTCATAGGATAAATAGGTCAGTACAGATGATAAATAGGCCAGTTCATAGGATAAATAGGTCAATTCATATAATAAATGCAGGTCAGTTCATAAGGTAAATAGATTAGTTCATATGATAAATATTTCAGAACATATAATAAATAGGTCAGTTCATAGGATGAATATTTCAGAACATATAATAAATAGGTCAGTTCATAGGGTAAATAGATCAGTACATATAATAAATGTAGGTCAGTTCATAAGATAAATAGGTCAGTTAATAGGATAAATAGATCAGTTCATAGGATAAATAGGTCAGTACATAGGAACAATAGGTCAGTTCATAGGTAAATAGGTCAGTTCATAGGATAAATAGGTCAGTACATATGAACAATAGGTCAGTTCATAGGTAAATAGGTCAGTTCATAGGATAAATAGGTCAGTATATAGGATAAATAGGTCAGTACATTGGATAAATAGGTAAGTACATAGGATAAATAGGTTGGTACATATGATAAATAGGTCAGTACATAGGATACATAAGTCAGTTCATAGGATAAATATTTCAGAACATATGATAAATAGGTCAGTTCATAGGATAAATAGATCAGTTCATAGTATAAATATATCAGTACATATGATAAATAGGTCAGGTCAGTTCATAGGGTAAATAGTTCAGTTCTTAGGGTAAATAGGTCAGTTCATAGGATAAATAGTTCAGTTCATAGGGTAAATAGGTCAGTTCATAGGATAAATAGGTCAGTTCATAGGAAAAATAGTTCAGTTCATTGGGTAAATAGGTCAGTTCATAGGATAAATAAATCAGTTCATAAGATAAATAGTTCAGTTCATAGGGTAAATAGGTCAGTTAATTGGATAAATAGTTCACTTCATAGGATAAATAGGTCAGTTCATAGGATAAAGAGGTCAGTTCATAGGATAAATAGGTCAGTACATACATACTATAATGCTGCCAAAGTAGGCACACTGTTTTCAATGGATCTGAAATTAATTTACAAAGATAATCTTAGTTAATTCATTTGTCATTATTACTGGTTAAATGTTAGATATTACATCTTTATTGAAGTACATTATCAGTTTTTTAGCAATTTAGACAAGTCCTGAATGTGAATGTAGACGAGTTCCATTTCTAAGATAGACAATTGTGCCTTGAAGAGATAGATACATGGGGTCCTCAAATGTGGGTGAGTCCCACAGAACAACATGAGTCCCACAGAACAACATGAGTCCCACAGAACAACATGAGTCCCACAGAACAACATGAGTCCCACAGAACAACATGAGTCCCACAGAACAACATGAGTCCCACAGAACAACATGAGTCCCACAGAACAACATGAGTCCCACAGAACAACATGAGTCCCACAGAACAACATGAGTCCCACAGAACAACATGAGTCCCACAGAACAACATGAGTCCCACAGAACAACATGAGTCCCACAGAACAACATGAGTCCCACAGAACAACATGAGTCCCACAGAACAACATGAGTCCCACAGAACAACATGAGTCCCACAGAACAACATGAGTCCCACAGAACAACATGAGTCCCACAGAACAACATGAGTCCCACAGAACAACATGAGTCCCACAGAACAACATGAGTCCCACAGAACAACATGAGTCCCAGTTCTCAAATATATGTGTCCCAAACTGTCTCTGTAACACTTGTTATATGTCACATGTGGGATACTGCTTCCCATATTTTCATATATTGCTTTAAATTTACACTTGTAAAAAATATGAAAACATTCTGTCAATTGGTAAAATATAAATGGTATTCACAAGAGGGTGAAGTACTCCTTACAGGAACAGAACATTTGGTCTCAGCCTGCATACTAGCAATCCTTGTTAATTTCTTCACAAATATTTCCTTGATAACCAGTTTTATTTTACTTTATGGTTCTGATCAGATAAAGTTAAAAGGGTTGTACATTTTTAGGTCACCTGAGACAAAGTCTCAAGTGACCTATTGCGATCGCCTATTGTCCGTCGTGCGTCCGTCGTCCGTCGTGCGTCCGTAAACAATTTACATTTTCGACTTCTTCTCCAAAACCCCTGAACCAATTTCAATGAAATTTTGCAGGGACCTTCCATGGACAAAGGTCAACAAAAA